CCGACTCTGTAAACCGCTTAGAGAGGGCTGAAAGCCCTATGAAGCGGTATATAAGTCTAACTGCTATTGCTATTATTAGGCTGGCCTAAAGTATCAAATATCTAAATAACCTAGTATTATTAGGCTAGTCTCTCCCTCCTCCTCCTAATCTGGTTTAGGGACTTTCTCCAATACATGTGGGAAACCCCTTTAAAATAAACTTCCCTAGCTAACATCCCCTTTGTTGGATTACAAGTTCTAAGTTCTAAGGATGTTGTAGTTCAGTATTTCTGGTGAGTACTAAGTTGAAGAATACTCAGGTAAACTTTACATTTGAAGGAGGGTTGGGAATATGCTATGTTCCACAAATTACAATTCCCATCGTTAGCTACATTTGCTGTAGCTATTAGGAACTATAATTTTTCAATAGCAAGAGGACCAGGAGGTGCTTCCCAATCCTTGGTTGAAAACAGAAGTTTTGAGAAAAGTTTAAAACTAGTAGAGGCAGTGATTTGTGCAAACTGGCATGACTAAACACTGAAGGTGCACAGAACGCTGTTCCCTTCCCACCGAAGGTGGTTCCTATTTTTCTACTTGCATTTTTACCTGCTTTCAAACTGCTAGGTTGGCAGAACCTGGGACAAGTCACGGGAGCTCACTCCATTACTCAGCGCTAGGGGTTCGAACCGCCGAACTGCCAACCTTTCTGATCAACAAGTGCAGCGTCTTAGCCACTGAGCCACCACATCCCAAACTGGTACTATGGAATAGCAATTTAATAACTAGCATGAATAATCTGAATAACCTTAGGAGTTAATTATCCCCTCATGTGGCATAGATAAGGGTGTATAATGCAAATTCCGAAGTCCCTCAAGGTCAGATCAGAGTTCACTGCAGCTGTATTTGAGGATATTTTTCCCTGCAGGAGGGAGAGAAGGAAGTTGCTTCCAATGAGGACACTGAGGTTGGATATTCAACTAGATGAGGAACAGAACTGTTTCCTCACTTTTTTGCCAAACATCATGTAAAAACAAACAAACAAACCCCCTTTAATTCATTTATTTTTTAGAAACTTACCAAAGTAGATAGGCCAGTGCAGCCATTCCTAAGATAGTGAGGCTTTTACCCACTGCTGGATACTTATGAGGGATAACAAACATTTCTACCAGGACCAAAAGAAATACCAAAGTGTGCTGGAAAAAAGACAGTGCTTTAGACAAAGTGCATTTGTGATGAAAAAAAAAGTTAAAAGTACAATCCCCCAAGTAACAGAGAGTTATAGTTTGATGTAAGAGGCAAGGATGTAGGGAAGTATGGCTACTTTGACAGGCAACAGAGATCTTCCAAAGAATCTGTAAGAATCTCCTTAATGTGGCTTTTTAAATGGAAAACTAAAGGAAGGAAGTTGGGAGAGTTTCAAAGAGAAGTTGTAGTCCTCTGGGTTCTAAGGATAACACTACGAATATGGCAGGGCAATTGGAGAATAAAAGTCCTCAAGCCTTTTTTACCTTTTAAAAACTTTATAATTCTTCTATCCCAAACCTCCAGATGGCAGCAACTGACCAGGCTTGGCTTGATTCAGAAACAAAGTCAGGTTGAGCCTGGTTAGTACTTGGATGGAGAGTTAAATAATCCCAGAAGAAAACAGCAAACCATCACTGTTTGCCAAGAAATGTGAATACAGGTGAGTCTATGAAGTCACCAAAATCATCCTTCTAGATTCTACAGTCCCTTCTTTGTTTCTGAACTCACTTTAACAAATCAGATATTTGTTGTATTATGTATGTATGTATGTATGTATGTATGTATGTATGTATGTATGTATGTATGTATGTATGTATGTATGTATGTATGTACGTACGTACGTACGTATGTATGTATATCAATGGTGGGATTCAAATAATTTAACAACTGGTTCTCTGCCATAATGACCAGTTGGGTAGGCATAGCTC